AATGCTTTTAATAATAAATAATTTATTTCATAATTATCAGTTTTTTGTTCGTAGGTAAATATGAATGTGAATATGAAATTTTTTTATTTTACTAGCGTATTCCTATTTATGACGTTTTTGTTTTGATTTTAAAACTGAATCGTTTTATGAAATTTTTATTATTCAAACTCTAACATACAACATTCGATTTAACATATAATAGTAAAATGTAAAAAAAAAACATAAGTTTTGCTACAATTAAAAGGCGTACTCATATTCTGATTTATATGGTTTTAGTGTTATTATCAATAAATTAATTTTTTTTTTACTCTTATTTACTTACATCATTATTTTATCTTTTAAACAAATTTTAGAACAATAATTACTACATAACAAATTTATAGTATCATATCAATTTTTAATAATCATAGCAAACTGTTAACTATTGAAACTTATGTAGTGATTCTATTAGATGTGTTTGTGTAATATATGATAGTAGTGCAAAAAATTCAGGTCACGGTAAAAGAGTCGGTGAATGCTAATCCTAAATCTATTGCAAACATTAGCGACAAAAAATGGTGAAAGAAACAAAGAGAGTATGGACTATGATGATATAACTGGTAGTGAGGAGGGCATAATATGAAGAACATGGTAGATGTTGATATAAATAGTGCTTAAGCAAGGGAAAAGATGAAAAGAATAATAGTGATACTCTAAACATAGTTAAGTCTGCCACGTATTTTTCATAAATTTTATCATTTATATGTTATCAGAGTTATATTCCCAACAACCAATTTATATAGTATCACTTTTTATATTATTTTACTATATAAATTTTTTATATATTTTTTGAAATAATTTTTAATAGAGGTTGATAGTCATAATTTAACAATTGAAAATAATCAACCTAAATGGATATTTGGGACATATCAGTATCGTCTCATCAAATATATTTAATATAATGAAATAATTTTCAATATAGTTCAACTCGTTAATGATGAATTATCTTTTCGTATTTATATTATAGTTTTAATCGGTAAAATTTTAATTATAAATGGTTATATTTTCATTGATATATCTATATTGTTAAAATTTTAATAATAGCATCTCGATGTATATTTTTTTGTTAGTTTAAAACAGAAAAGAGATTAAATGACAGAATTTGATAACTGCTCTATATATTTGGATTAAATGTTGAATTATTTTTTATTTTGTTTCATTTATTTCTCATTCATTGTGTTTAGAAAAAGAAAAAGAGAGAAAGTAAATCGGAGAGAAATAAAATGAGAAAAAAAAAGAAATAAAAAAAAGAGAAGAAAAGGAAAAAAAAAATAATAATAAATTAGTTGGCCCAACTCAAATTAAATTCTAACCCGAATGTTTTTCTTTGGGCCGGGTCAGTTATAAAGGCTCGGTTAAGACCCAACCCATCGCCCCAGTCTCAAACTTGTTCTCATTAAAACGACGGCGTTTTGAGCGGCTTAATAGAGGTTTCCAATCTCGAGGACGAGCTGTCTCCCGTTCCTTCTTCACCTGCAATGCGAAAAGCGGTTAGGGTTATGTTAGCATAAAAAGAGAAAACTTACGAGGATCGTGTGGCTTGCGATTAGGGCTTCAAGGAGAGTCGAATGAGCATGAGGAGAGACGATGGTTCCGTTCTCAAGAACGGCAAAGAACGCCTGCGTGGGAGAGTTCCGAGTGCCATTCGGGTCTGCTTCGTCCCGAAATAGAAAGAGAGGGACGATAGAGAAGAAATCGAAGATGAGTTGTGGCATCCCGTGCAGTTCCAGATATGTTCTTGTTTTCTCTGTATGGAATATGGCGGTTAATTGTGGCATCCATGTATCTTTTGGCGAGCCCGAAATCAATAATGTACACCTGATTTCCTTTCCATCCAAGATCCAAACCCAACGTTAGCACTGTCTTCAGTGAGAATTTCCTCCCACAGTACACTAACAAATCCTCAAGATTTGGTCCAAGAAGATCAAGGACAAGGACATTGTCCTCCCCATCCATGCCAGACCATTTTATTCCACTTCCTCCTCGAAGAATATTGTACAGCTTAGCTTCGCACGGAAGTTGCGGATTCTTGGTTTTATTGTTTTCAATCTTAACAGCAATCTTGAACGTGCCGATGTGCGTAGCAAGAAAGATTTTGCCCGAGGATCCATTGACGATCTTGCGGCCGAGCTTGTGTTTACCACCGACGATGCGTTCCAAGTCGGCGATTAATTAACCGGAATCAATCACCATTGCATTGTTGGAAAATTGAGTCTTTGAAAAATAAAATTAATCTGATATATACACATTACATGGATTTTGATACCGTTCATACCCTAAATTATTGC